CCTTCACACGCCACGCGCGAAGAGGCCAGGAAGGGTGAGGAGGAAAAGAAAGGAGGCTCGGGAAGGAGGGAGGGGGGAGGAGAGCACGAGGCAGAAAGAGGGATCGAGAAGGCAAAGGAGGATCGGAGTGCTGGCGCGCAGTTAAGCTCTCTTCCGCGTGGCCCTCCTCTGCAGCATCCGCGTGGCCATCCTCGGCAGGCCGAGTTGCCGCCTCGCATTTTGGCAGGACTGTCTCCGTGGCTCGTCCCGCAGGTCAAACGCCCGTGCCAGGCTCCCTGCATCGAAATGGAAAACAACGGCACAAACGTAAACTTACGTCGGGCCTGTCCCTCTACAGGAAGAAAATTCAAAAATGGTATAAGAATAGTCTGGGGACGATGTTTAAAGTATTTCTGGTTACTTTTGAGCATGTTGCTGACTATTCTTAATTTTTCTTCCAAAATCCGCCTGCAGGAGGACATGCCCGACCTAAACGTAAACGTTTGGCGGTCCGCGCGGATTTCTTGGATCCGCGCTGGGCCCCCCGGCGGCGCCTCCGGCGCCGCCCCTGACGCGTTCCGCGCGCCAGGGAGGGGGGCCTGGCGCAGATCCAAGAAATCCGCGCGGAACGCCTAAGCTTTACATTTGTATGCCGTTGATTGTTCTTCTGTTGCAGAAGCAGCGCCCCCCGCCCCAGTATGCCCGACTCCACGGCGCTGCATGCAACGTGGGCCCCATGGACCCCTCGAGCCTTTCGGAGAGGGCCGGCTTGCCTGTACTGCCAGCCCACCGCCCTGCGAGCAGTGCTGTCTGATGTCGCGCGTGTGAGCAGCTACCTGCGCAAGCCCGCCACGGTGGCACAGGGCCTACAGCGAGCATCCGAGGGCTCGAGATTCGGAAAAGCATGCCGTCGCGGGCTTCCCGTGGCGAAAGATGTCTGGACTGTCGGCCGCAAGTCTGGAGCGCAGGCGTCGCTCGCGGGTCTGGATCGTCGCTCACTCGCAGCTCTGGAAGCCTATCACGAACCATCGTGGCGGCGATCGTCGTTCTCATCTGCAGCAGCGGGACGAACTGCAGGCGGAATGGCGCCTCCTCATGCTCCTCCTCCTCCACCAGCCACGTGGCACTTTGCCCGTGGCAGCGGCGCGTTAGCTGCGCCCGTGACCTGGAGATGGGTACCAGGCACGGGGAGTGTGCATTTGGTTGAGTGGCGCAGCCATTTGGTCCGTGAGTCCCTTGGGACCTTGTGTCCGTTCACCCTCGGGTACAAACCCAGTTGCACATGCCATCCGATTCGGCAGGGGTGACGGTCGGGAAGTACTGCGCGGTGACGCGGTGAACCGGCTGTCCCCCTATGCACCACGCCGTCTCGGTTGGGCAGCGAGTCGCTGAGCGACGAGGTATCTGCCTTTCCCCTGACCGTCGGTGCTGGCGCCTGCGGGTCCCTTCCTCCTGTCTGGGGGGCCGAGGGGGACGGTTGAGCCTCGCTCGCCGCTCACTTCTTGGATCTACGACATTCATGACATTCATCATCATCACCATCATCATCATCCTCATCATCATAGTCATACTCAGAATCCGCATCATCATGCTCATTTGCGTACTCATCATCTCCATCTTCACCCCCATGAGCATCATCATCATTATCATCACCATTACCGTCACCAGCAATAGCATCATCATCTGCAGCAGCATCATCAGTATCAGCATCATCAGCACCATCATCATCAGCGTCATCATCATCATCACCACCATTATAACCATCAGCAACATCGTCAGCAGCATCATCATCAGCAGCAGCATCAGCATCGCCACCACCAGTATCATCATCAGCATCATGATCATCACCATCATCATCATCGCCACCACCACCATCATCAACAACATCATCATCGTCGCCCTCCTCCTCATCATCCTTGCCCTGTTCGCCGCCGCCGCCGTCCCTCGTCGTTCGTTTTTTCGCGTCCTCGTCCCTCGTCGGGAGCTTGAGGCTGAGCGCAATTCATTGGCCCCCTGGGGGCGCCCCCACGGCCGTGTGCCAGAGATTGGGGTCGCCCCTGAAGGGACAGTGCGGCCCTGTCCGAGAGCAGGAGGCCGCTCGCAGGGCAGGCGGCCAAGAGAGCTTCGCCAGTCAGAGCTCGACGCAGGCGAGGTCACGATTTTTGTTGCAGGCGGGTCATCGAGCAGACGCCCGAACTCCACGAGCCCGATCCCGATCCCGATCCTCCCCGCGCGCATTGGAGGAGGAGGAGGAGGAGGAGGAGGAGGAGGAGGAGGAGGAGGAGGAGGGAGGAGGAGGAGGGAGGAGGAGGAGGAGAAGGAGGAGGCGGACGGGTAGGACTTGGAGGAGGAGGAGGAGGAGGAGGAGGAGGAGGAGGAGGAGGAGGAGAAGGAGGAAGAGGAGGAGGAGGAGAGGTTTCCCGCCGCTGCGTGGCGTGTCTACCCCTTTGGCGCGCGGTACATGAACGGGCTTTCCCTCGCCTTCCAGGTGGACCCGACTCGCCCCGTCGGCGGTCCCGACCGTCGTTGGGGGGAGCGCGACGACGGCACCGACCCCGACGATCCCTACGCTTGTCCCGTCGCCCCCGCTCCGTCGGAAATTGCTCGTTGTGAAGCATCAGCGGCTGTCGGTTCTCTTGCTGGCGACGCGGCCGCTCCTGCTCCTCGCGGTCCCCCCGACGCTGGCGATCTCTGGGCTGAGTGGCGGGCGCGTGAGGGTACCCATCGGCCCGCTCCGAAGGCTGCCCCAGAGCGTCGCGTGCCCGATCGCCCAGCCCTCCCCCAGGTGTGTCCGCCGCGACGACAGCCGCCAGCCCCTCTCAGGCCTGCAGGCCGCCCCATGGATGGCCCTGCTGTCGGGGATGCCCCCTCTGGACTCTCTCTGCCAAGAGGTTCTGATGTCGGCTGCGCGGACAGTCCGGCGGTATCACCCCGTTGGCGAGACAGCAGGGACCGCGTGGCAGGCCCGCCTGGGCCCCCGGGGGCTGGACGCCGACCCCAGGCGCCACTCCCCCAGCCATCTGCGTGCGTTCCTCGGCGCCGCCTTAGACGTCCGTCCCGACCAACCGCTGCCTGCCGATCTTTGTCCCCCCAGTTATTCCGCGGACGCCGACCGGGACCCGCTGCGCCTACGCGCGGAAGCCTTGGTCAACACATCAGATCGGCACCTCTGGCTGTCCTTCCTGTCTGCTGCGGGGGCCGGCGCAAGCGGCAACCCACTCGCGCACGAGCTCTCGACTTTCCTGGGTTTTTGTCCGCTTGTCGGAGTCCGCTGGCTTCCCCTGGGGATGGATGCGGCTGGCGCCTCCAGCGCGACGGGCGGCGGCCCGTGAGGCGTTCCGCTGGGGCGATCAGACAGCGCGCGACCTCCCCCTTACTGCGCCCGATCGTGCCGACCAGTTCTCTCTCGCTGAGGTCCGACTCCCCGGGAAAGAATTCCATTGCTGGGATATCCTCAGGCAGCACGCGGCGGACGTGGCGGAGTACGACCGGCGCTTCCCCGCTCCTGCGCCCGTCGCAGGCGCGCCAGCTGCGGCGGTCGGTCCCCCGCCAGTGCTTGGGCCCGCGGCCCCCGCGGGGGACGCGGATCCCCCTGCGGCTGCTCCACCGCATCCCGGTGGCGGCCTTGCGGCCGCCTCCCCGGGTCCAGCCGCGGCCGCGGCCTCTGGCGCCTACCCAGCGGCGCGTGCGCTTGAGCCAAAGGGGCTTGAGCCAAGACTCCTCCTGGGTTGACTCCATTGGGTTGACTCTCCGGGGCGCACTCACTCATCAGACTACCTCCTCTCACACCACATTCCTCTTCCCACTTCCCTACCATGGAGTCCCCTCCCGCTGCGATGACCCCGCGGGTCACGGCCGCCGAGCTTGACGCCCGCATCATCAGCCTGGAGACGTCGATCGATGAGATGCTCCAGCAGGCCAGAGCCATCTCGCGATGGCTTCGGGGCGCGCGGCACACACAGGGCATGCGCCGCCGCCCCCTCAAGTATTCATGGACGGCCAGCAGGACGAGACCGCCAAGGTCGCGGAGAAGCCCCACCGCGTCGCCCTCTCCTCTGACACGCCATGTCTCAGTCCGACTTCGGACGTCGACGCCTACGCCAACAAGGTAACCCGCATCATCCCCAACGCTGGCACCGACGCCCGCAACGCGGGACCCAATGGTGCCGCCCAGCATGGCGGCATGGGCGGCCCCAGCTTCGACAGAGCTGACAGCGATGCCAGGACCCGCGACTCCACTGACGAAGCCATCATGAACTCCGGCACCGGTGCGTCGCACATGGTGCCCATCCACTCCGACGACCAGGACGAGGACGCAGAGTAGGACCACGACTGCGCCTTCGGCCACGACCATGCCCACGGCGATTACGACGACCACATCGACCACATCGGGCGCGACGCCAAGGATAAGCCATACTACAGCACCTTTGCGTTCGACATGAATCCGAAGATGATTGGTGTCGGATCCGACACCAGCACCGACGCCAGCATCGCTGGCCATGCAGGTGGAGGTCACATAGCCCGCAGGTTCAGCCTTAGCGTCGACTGCGCTGAGGGCGGCTTCCTGGACACAAGGGGGAACGAAGCATCCGGGCAATTGAACCCTGGACAGCACTCGCCTCCCAAGTCTCAGATCCCCACTGTCCTGTCCCTGACCCCCTCGTACACCTCCCCTGGGGCCGACCCCACAGATTTTTGTTGCGCCCGCATCTGGGGCACGATCCATCCCCTCAGGAATACTGCCGAGCCTGGCGGTGGAGCTCGCGGCCTACGACGGCATCAACGCCAGCAGCCAGGCCCACACCCACGACAGCAACGACACCGACACCGACGCCAGCACCCATGACAGCAAGGATGCCATCAGCGACGCCATCATCAACGTCGTCACAGACGCCGGCACCAGTGCCAACAACATCGACACCGGCACCGACTCGGGCACCGACGCCAGCAACATCAACGACGTCACCGGTACCCACAACCCCTCGGATGTTAGCGACGTCGGGGGCCCCACCTCGAGGAAGGACCTCGCTTCAGGTCCAAAGCTGGTGGTGGACGATTGCCGCGATCATGACTACTGTCACCTCGACCTCTCCGACCAATTCGGCGTCGACGGCGACAACGACGACAGAGACGATCACGACATCCGCGAGGGCTTCCACGAGGCTTACATCGCCCACCACGACCGCTACGAACAGACGATCGTCTGCATCACGATACCTACGTCGACCAGGATGGTGCAGACGACCGCAACGACACCCATCACAACACCCACGGGGACCATGACATTTACGACAACATCCACCACAACATCTATCATGACTCCAACGGGGGCCAGGAGGAATCAGGCGGCCTTAACGACCACGACGTCATCCACGCCATCCACGACGATAACAACGTCAACGACACCCAGAACACCAAAGCCCCATCCAGGGGCAGCGCTCGCTTCTCTAGCCAGGAGGGGCGTACACAGCCCAACCTTGTCGGAACGGCTACCAAGTACGGTTGTGACGACGGGCGTAACATAACGTGCTCAGCCCCTTCCAGGGTCGACGCCTCCGCCGCCTCCGCCCTGCACATCTCGGTGAAGCCGCCGGACAAGAAATCTATCAACGTCGATGTCAATGCTACCGCCACAGTCGACATTCTCATGAAATTGATCCAGGATGAGGTTGGTGTCCCTCCCGACCAACAACGTTTCATATACGGAGGGAGGCAGATGTGGACGGACAGAAGGCTGTCGAACTCTGGCGTTGAGAACGAGTCGATGGTGTACCTGGCGCTCAACCTCGGCGGGGGCATGGAGGACACTGGCTCGCCGCACCAGGAGGGGATGGACGAGGACACGGGGCTGACCCAGACTGCGGCCACCCTCTCGCTGGAAGACGCCATTCCCATGCCCCCTAGAACTCTTTCGGGGAACGCTACGATGCAAATTGTCGCTCCTCCTGGCCTTCCTGGGACCCAGCCCGCGCCAGCGCCAGCGCCAGCCCCCATGTCAGGGCAGTTGCTTAGCATGCTCGAGGACCACGTCGCATTACATGCCGACAACATTGCAGCTGAGAGGTCCGTGGCCAGGAGTCTGGAAACGTGGGATCCGCTGAACGTGCTACGGTCGTTCGAGGACGTCCTTGCCGGCTTCCGCATGCTTGGCTTCGAGATGGACAACCCACTACCATTGAAAAAAATCGGGCTCTGCTGGGAGGAGGGCCCCCTGCCGGACGAGAGCACAGTGGAGTCCCAGATGCGGCTATCGACACACCTACTCCGAGCCGTTGCTGCTCAACGCGACGACCCCGGCGTGCGCAGCAAATGCGACGAGCTCGTGGGGGCCCTGACTGACTCCGGCCAGCAGCGCATACAGATGCTCCCGAGCCTCCGACAGGCACGGCGCAGACGATTCACGAACGCGATCGCCAGGTACCACGAGGTGGAGCTTCCATTCCTCCAGTTTCTCCAGAACGAGTTCGACGAGGCCCTGGGGGAGCTCGTGGCCACGCAACTCCCCAACCAACAGGGGCTCAACCTGGCCACCCTTGCCTGCCCGCCGCTCACGGCGCGCCTCCTTCACGAGCAGTCGTCCAAGGTCCCAGCGAGGGGCGCGGCTGCATTCATCGCTACGGGGCCATACCATCATTGGCTTTGCTGGGCTCCTGCCGACGCTCCGAGCACTGGCAGGTGGGTTTCCCTGCTCAGAGCGCTCCGGGAGGAGAAGCACGCAGCCCAGATATCGTTCCTGACGCCCCGACCTATTTTGCCAGGGCGTTTGTCGCCAGCGGAGATGCTAGATTATGGGTCGCCGCACTTGCTGCAGGGCCAAGGCGGCCAGAGAGTACAATCTATGACGTTTTTGGAGCCTCCTGTTCGGGTGCTCGTCGAAGGGCAGCTTGGCCCCCGGCTCTTGGAACAACACCTGGCCATCATCACCCTTGGCGACACCACCGACGGGCTGCCGACTCCCACTATCAAGCATTGGAATGGGAACGAGGCACAAAGCCTCGAGGAAGGGGCCCTGATCTTGGATTTCCCGACGGAATGTTCGGACAAGCTATTGCAGCTGCTCCGCGGCATGGTTATCAATGAGGTCACTTCGTGGAGCCAGCCGATGGCGAGCCTCAGCGACCGGGATGGCAGGAGGGTGATTTACGGATGCAATCAAGCACGACTTTCACTCTCTCTGCAATACAAGTGGCCTTATTGGTGCGTGACCTCCGAGCTCGCCTACGGCAGTTTTCCGGCGTGGCTGACGGCCACACGACTATGATGCGCGATCCAACGGCGCTGATCACAGACTTCACTTGCCCAGACGCGGTGGCGACCCTTCCAGATCATTGGGAGCAGCTGATCCTTCTCACCCTGAAGAAGGGCGTGCTAATCACGTCGACTTCTGCCTCAAACTGGGAACGCACACTCACAGACCAGGCCTCGGCACAACGGGACGCCAGGATCACGAAGCTGACGTGGCGGCGCAGCACATTTGGTGGCAGAAAATGGGTCATACCTCAGGCTATATCCAAAGCCGCGACGGCCAACCGTCAAGGTGACTGGAGTGGACTTACGGGCCCCTCCCGATGCACCATTCACATCCAGGTCAAGTGCGACACCAGCGCCGACCCTGGCCCGCTTATGAGCCGGCTGACTACGCAGCTCTCTCGTTGCTCGGGCACCTCATGGCCTGTTGCGGCGAATGGCCAAACTCCACGACCTGGTCAGATCGCGCCCGTCACTGGTGAGGGCGGGCATTGGGATGGAGGCGTGGTGGCGGAGACCGCCGATCCCGCGCAGGCGCAGGCGATTTCGAAGATGCTCAACGGCATGTGCTTCGCTGGGGAGGCGGCAGATGCTCAACGGACTACGACAACAAAGGGATGGGCGATCGCTCGGGAAACCGGGCCCGGAGACGATGATCGGCCACTCGTTCTCCGGCTTCGATGGCCGCGGGGAGCCAGGGGTGCTTGCCTGGCCAGCCCGTGCCCCTGGCCGAATGCATGCGCATGGCGTTCGTTGCAGAATTTGAGACGCTGATTCTGGGAGCGGAGCTGCCGCTCTCTTCGGCGCCGCGGGAGGCCCCGCCTCCTTGCCCCGAGCGTTTTCCATCGCGTGCGCCTCCCCGGGGCGCCGGGGGCTTTGGCGACAGCAGTTTTGTTGCACTTGGCAATTCACGTACTTCACCTTCGACGCCCACTCCTTCATCAGGGAGGCCGACCGCTTCGACGCCCCCCCCCGCGCCCACTCCACCTTCCACATCCCCTGCGGCCTCGGGGAGCTTCGCTTGCCCATCGGTGACTACAGAAAATCCGCATGCGCAGCAAGACGCATATGGAGCCCCGCCACAGATCCCAGCCTCGACGGCGACCTCGACGCCGACCCCCGCCCGCAGAAGGGCGGCTCGCCCTCTTGAGTTTGCGACGGCATATGCGGGCAGCTACAAGGGCGCGTCGTGGAACGCGCCAGGTCTTCTCGCCTTCGACTTGGACCGGCAACATCACAAACGACAGTACTTGACCAAACGAGCATCCCAACACGACTTCGTCGGCATTCAGGAGACCCACGGCACCGAGGGCAACGCTGCAGCCTTCTCACCGCCAGAGGGGCACACAGCCAGATGGTCGCACTGCTCCCGACGGCAAGCCAGAGTTGCATTACTCGTGAAAGACTCGTTCCTGAGTCACTTCATGGCCATCCGCGACAGCGACTGGGTGGAATCCGTACCAGGGCGGCTCGCTATACTGCACCTCGGCGGACCGTGCGGGGCGATCGCCTTCGCTACCGCGCATGCCCCTTTCAGGTCATTAGGCGGCGGCCGAACGGCATCAACTACGACGACAATTGCGCCAAGAGATGGACAGGAAACCGTCTTCAGGGTGGTTTGTGTTGGGGGATTTCAACTGGGTCACAAAACCCAGCGGCCGCATCAACATGGGCGATGTCCGAGCAACGGGACAACAGGATTCGACCGAAGAGGGGCATTGGAAAATTATGTCGCGCGACCTGGGAAACGGTTCGAGCTCATTCAGCAGCACTTTACCTTCCAGCCCTCGGGCGTTCGCTCTCGGCTGGACAGGGCTAATCCGAACCATCACTCCGCCGACTACTTCGACGGAGAGTGCTTGGCCTCTGCTTGGCCGTGGCCTCCGGCGGATGCCTCGGGAGTGACTGTGTCCGACCGCCGGCCAGTCTCTTTCGGCCATCGCTGTCCGTCGGCCTCCGGGAGGCCGCCTGGCCTACAGGGTCGTCGCTACCAGCGCCCAGACTTCCCCCGGCGCGTGGCCAGGGCCTTCCACGCGGATGCGACGCAATACGGGCGCGTTGGGGTTGAGATTGACCCCATTGACAAGTTCCAGATGCTCAGGCACGCGATGTCCGCAGTGGCCCTCCACATGGATGAGACGCACAATGGCCAAGTTTTCGTGGACTCAATGGAGTCCCCCGCGGCAGCGGCCGCTGCCTTTGCTATCATCGCGCACATACGCTCGGGTTCACTTCCTTCGCTCAGCAAGATTCGCCGACGCATGCCAACCGCTTGGCGGGACTCGCTGGCACCGACGGGCACCTCCGCGCCCGCCATCCTGCAGAATGTGCAAGACCGCGCCGTCTCACTGAGCAGGACCGAGGTTCTGGCCGACATGCGCGCCTTGCAGCAGCAGGCAGGCAGAGCGGGGGACAACGTGGACGAACACCGCCGACGGGTGCAGCACAACTCCATCAACCGCAGGTTGGCCCGGCTGGCCCGGCGGACAGAAAACGCCGGATGTTTTGAAGGACTCGCAGGGGAAAGCCCACGCGGACGAAGAGGCGATCGCCGAGCTGCTGGCCGCGCACTGGCGCCAGTTTTTTGGACACAAAGCGGTCGATGAATTTAAACTAGCTACTTGGGGTGCTCTGGCGAAGCGCGCGGGGTCCCAGCAGCTGACGCCACCAGCCGCTAACTGGCGAGTCAGATCGAAGGACGTCGAGAAAGCCTTGCGGATAGCTGGCAACTCACGTCCAGACCCAGACGGGACCCCTTTTCCCAGCCTGGCGGCGCCTGGGCGCGCTCGGGGCGCACGCGCAGCGGCGGGCGGAGCGGCGGCTCGAGCAGGGTCTACAGGCCAGGCGCGCCGCTCACGACGCCTTCAACGAATCGCTCCTGTGTTGCTTACCGAAGAAGCCAGTGCGCACTGACGCGGCATGGGGCCATGTTTCTCAGACCGGATTGGACGCGCCCTCTCTCCATCACGAACGCAGACAACCGCGTCATTGCGAATGCCTGCCGTCTGCGATGGGAGCCAATCGTTCCGCCTGAGATCATTACTGCGCAGAGGGACTTTATTCGAGGGCGCCCCATATTTTCGAACGTTGCGGAGGTGGAGCACGCTGCAATGATTGTAGCCCTGGAGGAGGAGGATTCCGCAGTGGTGCTCTTTGACTATTCGGTGGCCTTTCCGACAGTATCAAGCAGTAAATCACGATTATGGCCGAGGCGGCGGGCTTCCCAGCGGCGACAATGGGGGTGCTGAGTTCACTATACCATCGGACCATCGGCACTCTGTGCATGCAGGGGCAGCGACACGAACAAGTGGCACTGGAATCGGGGATTCGCCAGGGCTGCCCCCTCTCGCCGTGAATATTTGCGCTGGCCTCGGACAGTCTCCTGCGAATCTTAGAACTCAGGCGCCCTGCAGCAACTACGAGGACCTTCGCCGATGACACCGCGGTGGTACTCCGCTCATGGCACAGAACGCCAACGAGTGTTTGCCACGTTCAAGGTCTTCGAGGGTGTGTCCAACCTTTCTTTGAACCTGGCCAAGACAGTGGCCCTGCCGCAGTGGGGCGCGGAGGTTGCCCACCTTCAGCAGAGCACGGCGGCGGATCCGGCGGCGATTCTGATCACTTGGGCAACAGTTGGCAAAGATCTGGGATTCTACATCGGACCAAACCCTGGGACAAGCCGCTTGCTAAATTTGAGGAGCGTCTTCGAGAATGGCGCTGGAGCGAGCTCGGCCTGCACTTGGCGACCACCACCTACAATAGTTTCGTGTTGCCGGTCCTCCTCTTTGTGGCTCAACTAGAGCCGCCTCCGCCGGCGGCCTTGGAAAGGGCGGCGGGAGCGGCCCGACGGACGGCCCCTGGCCCGGGCAACAGGTGCCAACCAGCGGACCTGCACCATGCTTCAGAGCTTGGCTTGTGTACGCGGCTGCGTCCTATGCTCGGCGCATGCCAGGCAGCGATGTTACGCATGCGCGGCTGGGAAGCTCACAGGGTAGGCGGCATTCCTTGGGATCACTCGGCCAGGAGTCGACCAGATGCGTGGATCAACACCGACCACGCGGGCGTTCGCGCTCGCTGGCTTCACTGGTTCGAACGCCACATGCCCACTGTGGCTTCGGATCTCGCCCGGAGCCATGCTGCAGCCGGCGTGCATCTTCCAGCTGCCCGCGAAGCTCTGGGTGGCTCGGCTACGGGCCCACTTGCGAGGCAGGCGCACGACCGCTTCAAAAAGTGCTCGCAGCGATGGCTTATGGCCCGGCTGCTGGAGCAGGACAATTTCAATGTGGAGTGGCGGTTGCGCGCTCGCCTGGCGCGCAGGAGGATCCCCGACTATCCGGGCAGATTAGCTCGACGAGTGGCGCGACAGTTGCTACGGCTCCGACGTTTAGTTCCGCCCAGGTTGCGTGCTGCGACTTTGACCACAATACTGAACAGATGGACGACCGATCGCCGCATGCGCAGCGTGAGAGGGCAGTTGGGCCCCTGCGTCCTCGGCTGCAGTGATACGGCGGCCGATTCGGTGGAGCATTTCTGCCAGCGCGAAGTCTTACGCGAGTGGCAACGGCACCGACTGGGCCCGAACATCCCGCAACACGGGCTGGCGCACAGCGTGCTGGGTGTCACGGTGGACGACGCATCTCTTATGCTTCAGGCTACATCTACTTACGCGCTTCACCGACCCGTGGATCACATGCGACACCAACGGGGACAACCAGTGGCGAGCCGCCCACAATAGTTACGTACAGCACTACATGGACCAGGCGTTGTACGAGGAATGTCGCGGTTGCGCGTGTCTCCGACGCGCGTGCCACATGCCCCAGTAGGTTGTCCGACCTCGCCGGCCACGGGAGGCGCCGCCTGCGGCGGGACGCCAAGTCCGACGACGGCTACAATAACCCTGGCTGCTGCCGCCCCAGGTATTCCTTTTCTCCTACTCCTTCTTCTGCCGTGTACTCACCTCCCACAGTCGCATATTGGTTTGATGTCGCAGTGCGATTGGAGCTTCTCCTTGGCCTGCATATGCGGGACCGGTGTTGTCCCCAGTGATTTGTTATGTTTCTTGCATGATCGGCACCGTGGTTGGAACGCTTCAAGCACGCACCTTTTGACGCCGGCGCCTACGACAGCACAATCGCCAGCTCCGACGCCGATTCCGATACCGGCGCCTACGCCGGCACAGACGGCCGCGCCTTCACCGGCACCGTCGCCACCTCCGACGCCGACACCGTCATCGGCGCCCACGCCGGCATCATCGCCTACGCTCGCGCGAGTACCGTCGCCACCACCGGTGCCGACACCGACGTTTGCGCCGCCCCCGGCACCGACGCCGGCACCTACGTCATCACGGTCGCCAGCGCCGCCGCCGACACCGAAACCGTCGCCGTCCCCAGTGCCGAAGCCAGCGCCTGTACCATCATCGTCGCCAGCGCCGACGGTGACATCAACGGCGGCGCCGTCCCCGGCATTGACGCGGGCGCCTGTGCCACCACAGTCGACAGCAGCGACGCCGACACCGACGTCGGCGCCTACGCCAGCACAGACGCCAGCGCCTACGCCGAGGCCTATGTCAGCACAGTTGCCAA